ACCTTTAGTTTTATGGTTATGTTGTCTAGATTAGAAATTTAGCTGAAGTCAATTTAGTTAGATGAAAGGCAGTTTTATTGACTTTCAACCTTTGTCTAAATTAAGGCTATGTTTTAAATTACAATTTTCAGGGTAGTAGCATTTATAGATTTATGTGAGAGGCTGAACAGTTTTCAAGTACACACTGATGCAAAAATACTCACAGTTGCTATGAGACATAAGCATGAAAAGAAGTGCTTGTGTTTTTGTTTTGAAGTAAGAAAATTAAAGAGAACAGAATAAATATTCAAGATGTTTTTCTCAAAACAACTATTAATTTAGATTTGCATTGAGAATAATATCTACATCATCATGAATTTGTTGCCTATTTTTCAATAATACCTTCATCAACAAAGGCCATCCTCTTCTAGACTTCCCCCATCTCACTGAGCACAATCTCAGTAATAATTTTATTACAGCCCAGAAAGTTTCAAGATCAAAAGTCTTGACCCTAAGAAAGCCACTGATCCAGATAAAATCCCAGTGGTTATCCTTAACAATATTAACCTGGAGTTATCTCCAATCTTAGTAAATTACAACAAAAACTAAACAACCAACCCTGGTTTACACCTGGATGTACTGCAGCCATAGCTCACCATAACTACTACAACAATATTTATCACAAGAATGATCTAGTAGGACACTTTCTGCATTAAGAACTGCCTGCAGTCATTGCAAGTGAGTTCTAGAAAATGCACAGTATTGCTATACACAAGCAGTCCAGGCCAAGGTTGAAAGCAAACAACTTGGATCCTGGGAGTTCTGGAAGATCTCCAACCAAATTCTGAATAGAGGCAAAGCTTCATTGCCTACTATCATAAATGACCCTGAAGTCATCTCAGCTCCAAGTCTGTTGAAAGAGTCAAATGTATGCCTGTTTTTCAAGAGTGCTCACAGTATAGACCCACCAGTCTTATTAGTGTCATTAGCAAACTTTTTGAAGCTATAATCAACAAGAAGTTTGTTGATCACATCAATAGGAAGAATCTCTTGAACAATAAACAGTATTGGTTTTGATCATCTTGGTTCACTGCTGATATCCTTACTGTCATTACTTATAGAATTAGTGAGGGACTAGAGAACACATACATCTCAAAGAAAAACCACATTAGATATTTCAAAGGCCTTTAACAAGGTGTGGCATAAAGGGTCACTGCACAAGCTCTCTATCTATGGAATCACTGGAAGGGTCTTCTCAGTTATAGAATCCTTCCTAACAGGTAGGACCCTGTAGGTAGTTGTTAACAGCCAGTCTTTTGAGGCCCAAGGGATCAATGCAGGCATCCACCAAGACTCACTTCTCAGTTCAACCCTCTTTCTACTTTACATAAATGATCTACCTAAGAGTATATTCTGACCATTTGTGACAATCTATGCCGATGATACAATGATATATGGGTGCACCTCCCAAACTCTAGATAACCAGAGCTTGACAGCTGATCTTTCCTCTGACCTTGCTCTAACAGTTCAGTGGGGGAGGGGAACTGGCTGGTCACATTCAATGCCTCAAAAATCAAATTAGTGACATTTAAACATTGCCGACTGGACCCAGAACTCTTACCAATCACAATAAATGGATGCTCTCTCTGGGAGGCCCAGTACCTAGACAACTTACTAGGATTAAAGTGGAACTCATACATATGATTCATCACTAAAGATGCTGGAAAAATGGTTGGCTCCCTGTACTACTCTAGTAAGTATGTAACTTCTGCTATCCTCTCTCTTTACAAGAGCCAGATCAGTCAAAAAATGGTGTACTGCTGTCATACATGGGCAGTAACTGCCTAGTCTTCAATTTCTAGCCTCAATAGAATCCAAAAATGTCTCTGCATCCTTGTGGTGGAGATTATTTTCCAACCTACAATCCTTTCTCAGAGATGAAATATGTCACAAGCCTCTTGATACTCTATCACTATTTCAATAGATGTTCAGACAAACTACATTTCTTAGTTCCACCAGTTCTAACCATCATGACTAAGACCTACCATGTCACAAACATTGTAGTGAACCACCCTCATTCCCTTCACATTCCATTGGTGATATGTAAGTTCCTCTTAAGCAGCTTCTTCCCATGCAACACTGCTCTGTGAAGCCAACTCCCAAGCAGATGCTTCCATGATCACTACAATCTTAGCTTGCTCAAGTCTAGGGTTAACTATTATCTTCCCCACATATCCACATAAACTGTGCCACTTATTCTATAACCCTCTACCTATTCTACAATCAAAGAATGCAGGTAAACTAGTCACTCACCATACAAGGAATTGTCAGTCATAAGAAAGTTCACTGAGGATTGACAACCTCAGGTTTCACTTGTCCTGTTGGATTACTGCTCCCTGCTGATAATCACTGATGGCGCAATTTTTGAAAGGCTTTCCTTTTTTCCTTATAACTTTTGGAGCAATGTAACATTTTCTTTTCACTCCATTAGAGATGATGCATGTAAGTACATCAGATATGCAGATGGAAGATTTTATTGAACTGATTATAGCCTCAACTCATGCACTAAGGATAAACTAAGTCTATGGGAGGCCTTAACTTTGCATATAAGATGTAAGGCAATTTTTAAGCCATTTCTTAGAAAAAAAACTGCATCTGTTACATATGCTTTTGGTAAGTATGGTAATATTTTAATGTCCTCAAATGTCCTTAAATTCTAAAGCATAATACAGATATTATGAAATCAGGCTATGCAGAAGTTATTATTTGTGGTAAAATTAGATCTTACAGTAGTGAGCATTGGGGATAAAAATTAGCTTACTAACTTCAACTTTGCGTATACGATGCAGGACATTTTTTGTGGTAAAATGTGCATTTTATATTCTGTCAGATATGGTAATCAATTTAAATGACTTCAAAGTCTATTGGAAAATTTCAAATTAATAAATGTTTTGTTTTTAACAACTGAAATATTTTTATCCAATTCACTTCATTTTACCAATATCAAATATATTAGTATTATTAGAGGAGGTAATTTTTATTAGTCCTGACCTGGTATTTAGACATCAGTCACTTTCCCATGGCTGTAATGTAGCTTCCTTATGTATTTCTATAATTACTTTCATGGTAAATATTTTGATTAACTTTCATCTATAGTTCCTAGACTCTATGAATTTAAGTGCATTACTAGATTGGCAGCAAGATCTCATTATTTTACAGTTAAAATGGCTAGATGTAAGTTCTGTGCTAACAGTTTCTTTTCTTGCACTTTTCACTTGTGAAATTCTCTTCTGGCTTCATGCTTTCCACTCAAGTTTGATTTTCAAAAATTTAAATGCAATGTCAATTGTTATAATCGTTCCTCTTAAATTCTGTTCTTTTATTGTTCTCACTCCTTAATAATGTTTTTCTTTTGTTCTTTCACAGTAATCCTGTGCGTGTTTGTGGTTCTGTTGCCTTGCTTTGTGTGAAAAGATAAAAAAAAATTCCCTTCTACCATTAAATAGGCTTAGGGAGTTGATTTCTGGAGAAAATCTTAAGATTACTCATAACTTTATGTTAGTAATATCTGATAAAAATACAAGATTAAATTTTTCATACATAAAATAATTATTTATTCACTTATGAAGTCTTTCAAATTATTATCAGCCATGGAGGGTATATGGTTTTTTGAGGATTTTCTTCAAATGTTTGATCTTTTTCTCATGAAACTGTGAGTGACTCTACCTTATTGGATATTTATATAACTTCCTGTCAGCTAGTTATCTTCAGTTGGGTTCATTTTCTATTTATGATGGTGTAGCAACTGACATTCTTTCAGGCTGGATTCTGTACCTGGTGGCTATGATGTTACCTTTTAGGCCAGCCCTTTGAGGCACCAAGTTCTTTTGATATCCTGATGTGACACCAAATAGAAAACTTATCTTGGTATTTCATAGAGTAAACCCAGTACATATTGGTGTCACCACAGATCAATTCCTCTTGGATTAAACATTCCTGACTAGCATTAAATTTGATTCAGGTCTCTGGTATTTACTTACATACCTTTGAGTTTCAAATAGATAGCATGAGACAATTATCTTTTTTGGGGAGAAAATTGAAGTTCTGAAGACTAGTAAACAACAGTTATTTTGATAGGGAGAAAATTCCACCTGGGACATCCTTATTCCAGTCATCCCTTTTATTAAATGTTCAGGAAATACATCAGGATGATTATTCTTTTTGGAAGAAAAATCTACCCAGAAAAAAACTTATTTTATACTTGAGAAACAGTCATTTTTCAGGAAGACATAATTGAAAAAAATATCTGCCAACTTGTCTTTGCAGATTCTTCTTTGGATTTTTTTCAAGAATCTCTAAATAACTTGAACCATGACATCTGTCTTCTACTATGTGTTACTCAAAATGACTTCAATATGACTCATGAAATCAACCAGCCTTGGTATCACTCAACTGTCAACCATCAAAGTGACCAATAGCTTAAAGAAGAAACTGTCTTGAATATTTCCATAACAACCACTTAAACCAAAAACCTTTTACTTGCTATCATTAAAATTTAGTAATTGATTTAAAAAAAAATAATAACATACTAACAAATTTTCATTTTAAATGCAGTATATCCATTGCCATTATTTTGATCACATTAGAAATAAAAGAAATCATACACATATTTACATTGATTTGATTACATTTGAATATATTGATAGTTTTATTTCTCTGTTGTTTCTTTGTATTTATTTCATATATTAAAGTGACTAAGTTATATAAAAAAAATTATTTCTTATTACTATAAAGGTTATTTTTAGTAGGTACAGATATTTTCTATTTTTCTTTTTTCTTAAACAGTGAAAGTAATAACAACTTGTCTAGATTGATTTCACTGTTTAAAAAAATAAAAATAACTTAAACATGTGTACCCACTAAAAATAACATTTATGGTAATAAGAAATAATGTTGGATAAAAAATCCATTCAAAAACAAAATTATGTTAACATATATTAAACAAAAAGTTTGATACATACAGGGCTGACAAAACAAAGATCCGATTGGCTGAAGCACACCAGAGATTGGTTCCTGTTATAAGAAGTGCAGTCACAGGGGCTGAGTTTATTGATGTATACAAAATGTCCACCTGATTAATTGGTTTATTTGATACACCCTGGCAAAAAAGAACATTTTTTCCCAATTATTATTTTAAGGCATAGGTGATCTTAAAAAAAGGGACTTTTTAATAATCAAAACTCACATTGATTAAAATTATAGAATATATACTGTTTTGATGCAAATCATTTTTACAAGCTATGATCTAGTAAAAAGGAGAGGAATGGAGGGTATGTTTTATTATTTTATTATTATTTTTTTTTTGTATGAAATTACAATCCGCTCAGATGAAAATGGTTCAGAATAAAATTTTTATTACTATCCGTACACTGATATTTAGTGTGCATGTACTCAAATTCTGTCTTTAAGTGCGAGTCCCTTGATTTTTCTGAGGGTTGGTTACACCCTCAACCAGTCTGTAGTATGATATGAGAGGGTACCAGGTACTATCATAATCATGGTTTCATTATCTAGCACCCTGCCTCGTTGGTGTGTTTAACAGGAAACAAGAGTGGTTTCTCACAATTGGTGTGAATGTTGAACTTTCACAGGCTTTCTCCTAAGAGTAGTGATTGGTTCATCTTAGCCAATTAACATGTTTGTTTCATATCCATTTGACAGTGAAATCATAAATTGTTATAAATCTTGTCCAATTGCTTTAGTACTTGCTTCTTTTTTTTTGTTGCTTTTGCTGTTATTGATGATGATAATGTCCTGTCTGAAAGAATCATGAAAACTTTGATGAAATCAAATGGAATCAACATGCAAACATATGTGGTTCTCAAATTGATGTTTTTGATGATGTTATTTCTGCATACAATGTAAACTATTTACAAATATACAAGGTGGTATCAGAAAGGTCCTAGACTGGTTCTAATCATGTTAGAGAGCTGGTGGATTATTTAATAATATCTCCCTTGATGATATATACCTGATGATGGCTGGAGGGTACAACAGCTGAAATGTGATAACAACAACAAAAATGAGAACAATAGTCTGAATGTAAATAGTGTAAATAATAATAATAAGTCTTCATGTGTCCAAAGAATTTCAGCTATTTATTCTTGATTCTGGATAGAAGTGTTCTTTCTGTTACCATTTTCTTTAAGACTTCTTTGTTGCTTACTCACTCATGGAATTTTCAGTATTCTTCTGTTGACCCACATTTCTGTTGCCTTTAAATTTTCCTCATTTGTGGGGATATTTACCCATCATTCACTGCCACATAATAAGATGGATATCACATAGAAATCCAGCACTCTTTTCTTTGTTTCTAACAAATTTTTTCTTTTTCTCAGCACCTTGCTTAGTTTCTGGGATGCTTCTTTTGCTAGTCCAATGTTTGATAAATTATCAAAAAATTGAATTTTTATTACATTACTTTGATTAGTTTCTATTACACTAGATTGATATGAACACAAAAATATTCTAAAATTAATATTTTTCTTAAAATTTATTCCTTTGATTTGATTTGATTTAACAGCTAATCAACACCTTTATGGGTCATTTAATGCCAAAATTTAATTTTCTTGGGAGCTTTAACATATGATATATTATACTACTTACACAATTGAATGCATGGTAGATGATACTCAGCTTTTGCACACATACATGTTTGAGTGGACATAATTACTAGAGACAGGGATATATGTATTTTATGTAGGATTTGTTGATGTTATATTTTGGAATACAGTTTGATTTAAGAAATTGTAGGATATTATATGGATTAATATCATGAAAGTTCTTTAATGTTTGGTTGGTGGATTTTGTTTAGCAATATATCAACCTCTGTAGGTTATTTAATGCTGAAATCTAAATATTTTAAACATAATTTTATGGTTTCATATAACTAAATATAATCGGAATGTAATTGTATGCATTCAACTAAAGATAAAATGTATTACTGGTCATTTTACTATATATATGTACTGTTGGTAACTTTTCTATAAAAAATATATTGCAGGTATTTTTACTATAAAGATTTTTATACTTTCATAATGTTCTGTTTGGGGGGGCTTCTCTATTTGCCCATTGTTGGGACCCTAACAGGTGCTACCACCCTGACCCAGAGTGGCAGCACCTAGTCAAAAAGCAACTATTCAAAACCACCAATCTTCAGATTAGAGGCCTTGCTGCTGGATGTAGTTTATCGTCATACCAAGAGCTAGGCTTAATTTGGCTTAAGGATTCAGTAGTAGAGCACCTCATGTAGGTCAAATTCACTGCATTAGAAAATAAATAGTACGATGGTAAACAGTTTTTCCTGCCATTAGTTTCTTGATTTCTATGATTTTACATTAGCAATTTTACATGAATTTTCATGTCAAGTATTTTTATGTGATTTTGCATGGCAAATATTTTACCAGATTTTGTATGACAAATATTTTACAATTTTGCATGGTGAATATTTTTACAGTATTTTGCATTATATTAAGTTTACAGAAGTATTTTTATATGATTTTACATGACATGTATTTTTACATGATTTTGCATAATAAATATTTCCATATGATTTTATATAAGCACTTTTACAAGAATTTGCATGACAAATATTTTTACATGATTTTACATGATTATTTTTACATGATTTTGCATAATCTTTATTTTTACAATTTTGCATGATTAATACTTTTTCAGAATTTAACATTTACTTTTACATGATTTGCATGTGTATTTTTATGACTTTACACAAGTATTTTACATGATTTTGCATGAAGAGTAGTTTACATGATATTGTCTGATATATTGTGACATTTTGCATTAACAATTACTTTTACATGATTTTACATGATGAATAATTTTACATGATTTTGTATGATGAATATACATATATATGTTATAGCATGTCAGCATCTGCACATTTTTATAAAGCAACTGGAATAAGAAACTTCACCTTCCAGGAGTAGTAAAACTGATTCAGCATATAAAAAAGCCTCAAAAAGTAAGAAAAAAGAATGAATCTGGACCAAGATACCTAGGATCAAGTGTAGTATCTATTCCAGCAGCAGACAGCCGGCCCATATCTTCAGCCATCAGCGGCAGCGGTTTCAGCCAGCCATCATCATCAACAGCTGCAACTCCAGCTTGCCATCAGATGCTGCTCAAGCCAGTCATTTTCCAGCAGGCCTCTAGCTCCAGCCAGCCATTGTTGTCAGCAGCAACAATATGCAATAAACTGTCCTTTTCAGGACAACCCTTTTCAATGACAACAAGATTGTCCTTCTCAAAACAATACTCTTCTCACCCTCTACATGAACATGCAGATATATTTTTTGTCTAGTTCATTGTAACCTTATTTTTGTCAGTGTATTTTCTTTAATGAAAATAAATGTGGCACAATATTTTTTTAATCAAGTCTTTGTTTTATTTCTTGTTGTCTTCTGTCATTCAATATCTGCTTGCAGGCCAATATACCACCCACAACATATGTTATAACTAAAGAATTAATACATTTTTACTTTTAATCTGACATTTTTTTATTACTTCAAATATTATGTCTATCAGAATGCACAATCAAGAAAACTTAATAAAGAAAATGTACTTTCCAGCATCACCCTTTGTAGGAGAAACTACTGTCTGATCTGGCATACTTTAGTCCACTTGACCATAGCCCAAAGAAAGCCAGATCAGTTGGTGATTTCTCCTACTAATAAATAATAAAAAATATGTTATAAGCAAATACATCAAGTTTAAGAGAGATAAAAAAGAAATATGTTAGTTGCTTTTACCTCAATGACAGCTAAATTTCCATCAGCCAAACCAGCGAAAACTGTAAGATCTTTTTCTTTATGGAGGAAGTTTAAGCAAAGTACTGCATCATGAACACGTAACTCCCACAATCGTTGTCTGTTTTAAGAAGACAAAAAATATCAGAATGAGAGAAATAAAGCAGCATTTGAATTACTGACATGAAGGAATTATTATTTTTTTAGACTGACATTTCTATTATGTTTTTACTGTTGCTTTCTATAACCCTTATATTATTAGATGTAAATCTTTGAATTTTTTCAATGAAGCATTATTATTAATTGTCCTTGTCTAGCATTTTTTCATTTTATTTCTGCTGTTTTTTCTTGAAAGTTCTTGATCATTATTTTTCAATCATTATGATATATTTTTTTGATTTTTAATCCATTTAACTCAAGCAAGATGATAATGGCAATATAATACAAGAGATTACTGGGAGTGAAAGAGAAAGAAGGAACTGGAAACCCAATCCTAAACAGGAAGCTAGGAAAAAATGTCTACTTCTGTTCAAAAGACTGAGGAGGGTGTGAACTGTATGATATTAAAGTGGATCAGAAATAAAGTTTAAGCCAGAGAAGAGAATACTCAGTTAAGATTTGCTATAAAAAAATCAAGAAATAAGATGAAAGAAATAGTAGTCAAAAATTAACAATGCTTAATCTAAGGAATTTGAATACTATTACATTTCATATTACAATTATATAATAAAAAAAACTTCAGAAATAAGATGAAAGAAATAAAAAAATATAAGAGAAAAACAATAATAATGAATTGTGCACAATAATTGTTTAAAGGACAGTGACTGGATTGGAACTATTTCTCTACTATCAGATCTTAAGTTTTCCCTATTACTAACATATGGTCATAGTAAAAATATGTTTTAATAGTCACTATACAGTCTTAATTTCCATTTTTTTAAAAGAATTATAATTGAATGAAAAATGGAAAAATTGAATGTGACATGTTTCATCCTTGGAAAGGACTTCTTCAGACTAAATAATGTTTTTATTAATGGAATCATCTATATGTAGGGTGGAGGGGATGAAATATATCTCACATGGTTATACTTATACACCAAGGAAATTATGAAGATGCAGAGACGCTTGATTATAAATTATAAATTTCTGGCATCCAATGTGTCCAGATGCACAACCTACCTAAACTTTTGTTTTTGTTTTTACTGCTGTTGTTTTTAAGGATAACTCAAGCAGTAGTTTTACTAAGAAGTGTTGTATGATAATGGACATAAATTTACCATAGGAGACTACACTTTCTATACATTCCTGCCTTAGTAAATTACTTTTACTTTTAATTAAAATTATGTCAAAATTATGGTCAGACCTATCATTTATTAAAGAATTATACAAAAATATATGGTTACTTTCCTTTCATTGCCATTGGAGACACATAAACTTAATACTGAATACCAGCACTCAATTGGAACAACCAAACAGATCAAATTCAGTAAATTAGAAGTTTGTCTGTAAGATGATTTTCTTAATCATTAGTCTATAAAAGAGGTCACTACTGCCATTGTTGTTATATTAGCTTGTTACAAAAGTTTCCAGCATTTTTCTATAAAAAATAATAAAGAAAAACAAATAACAGCAAATCTTCAACAGTAGCAGCAGCTGTAACAAAAGAGAAAAGCTTCAATGAATGCAATCAAGCATAGCAAGCAGCACTCATCAGCAGGCAGGTTAAGTTTAAGTTCTCCACAGAAAATTGTCCCATGGGTCAATAGCCTAGTGGATTAAAGCATTGGTTCATGAATTGGGTGACATAGTAATTGCAAGTTCAATCCCTGGGCTGGGCAATATATACCTGGACTCGGTGGAAATGGCAAGCAGTAAATATGATATAAGAATGAGATGAGATATCTCTAGACATGAGCAGTGGAATGAGAACAGTCTACCCCCATAGATTAAATAAAGTGTTCATTTCTGAATTCCTTGTTACCCTGATCGACATACACCTGGAGGGCGCAACAGATTACAACAACAAAGATGAAGACATGTCTGCATGTAAATAGAAGTAAATAATGAAATATATTATTCATATAAATTCCCAGTAACATTATTCCATCATCACGAAAGTATTCCCCTACACACAAGCCATTAATCTGCCAATGAGTGGCATGCTATTAGCATTTACTGCTGGTGGCCTATTGTCAGGCCACTGGCATGTTTGTCTTGGCAATGTCACCACTGGTAGACTGCTAGAGGCCCACTGGTGGCCCGCCAGTGGCTGCCACCAGAGAACTGTTGGTGTTGCCATCAGCGGTCTGCCAGCTGGCTTTTAGCAGCTTGCATGTAGGGTCTCCTTGGCTTTCTATGACCTTATGCCACCTTTTCAGTAAATTGTTTATTATATCATAAAACAATCATTTCAGTTTTTGAGTTAACGAATTCTTCAAGGATTTTTTATCAATATCTTTGACTTGTTGGAACAGCTGGCCAAACATGGAGTGTTTTATGAAATTTTTAAAAATTATTTCACCCCAAACAAGGCAATAATGCCACCGAGATGCAAGGGGTTACTGAGAGTGAAAGAGAATGAGAAGACTTTAGTTAGAAGAAAAGATAATAAAAGAACAGGGTTAAAAAAGATAATGATGATTGGCATTACATTTAAATTTTTGATTTAGGTGGCAGGGAAGCAAGAAATCAAAAGGGAGTTCCACAGGCAAAAAGTGTGAGAAAAGAAACTACTAGAATAGAAGATACAGTTGCATCTAGTAGCATGTTTAAATTCATGCACTCAAGGCACCATGGAAGAAAGCTCATCAGAACAATTTCCATGAAAATATTTGTAGAAAAAATAAAGGGAAGCCATGTCACACTGATCAGAAAGTGACTGAAATCAAGATACCAACTACACATGTGCACAAATGAGGGATGATGGGAATTTTGAATATTAAGCGCTGCAAATTCTGAGTGCTCTTAAGTAGAATCCGATGATTATACCAGATTTTATTTTGTTATGACCTCAATATTTACATGAAGAGGAAAATACATTGAAAACACTTTCAAGTTTCTTCAGTACACTAATTATTTTATATTCAATGCAAAACAAAAGGCTCATAAAATATTCCAAAATAAAAAAACAACCCCTCCTGACAAATCCAATCAATCAAAAAATATTGTCCTACCAACTCTATCACATCTACAGTCAAAAAGAACATCTAAATTCAACATAAAATTTGTTACTACTACATCCAAAACCATAAAAGACTTAGTCAAAACAATAAGCTAAAACTTGAAGGAGGAATTTACTCAATTACCTATAATAATTGTCATACAAAATACATAGGAGAAACCTCAAGGAATCTTATTAAAAGATCATATGAATACAAAAGGGACATTTTACAAAACAATACATTAAATGTTTTGGTTGTCCAGTGTAATGAGACTGACCACAATTTTCATATAAAAAATGCTATTCTGATCAAAGGAGAAAACAATTCACTATGACAAAAGTGTTTAGAGAGTGCTTTGATCGCAGGGTCACCCAAAGTAAATTTGTGTCTTGGCTCTTACAACATTTCACCATTCCTGGAAGATCTATTATCACAGTGTGGGATATCTCATAACAAAAGTGATGGAAAGAAAAAGAATCTAAATAAAATTGGCTAGATTATATAAAATCAAAAATTCCCAGCATCCCTTGTTCGTGTGCATGTGTAGTTGCACCAACATAACAAATTCAGTCCAATGAAATCCTAAAGGATGAAATGTATCGTACAAAAACTGTTTCCACTTTGTCACACACACACACACACACACATATATATATAGTTTTTTATATTTAATTTTTTATCTTTATGTTATTTATATAATATTATATTAGTTTAAAAATTTATTTTTTACAAATGAATGAGTTTAAATAGCTTTAAAAATTTAGGTCATTTTTCAGGAACAAGAAAAATCTATAAAATGTTTCTTTTTTAATGCAATCATGATAGCGCTGGTTGTTTGATTGGATTCTGCTTTTGAAACTAAAAATTATTGGCAGATATCAGAGGAGGAGCTTCAGTTCATCAGATCAAGTGTCAGACTTAATCTGCTTTTGGTGTTTGAAGTTTTGGGAAAAGAAAATTAAACTCCTTTAAGAGATAATTATAAAAGTAATCTCTTAAATTATTCCACCAGTTTTTAGAAATTAAGTTTTCCTGTTACGTACATATACAGTTTCATAGATAACACACACACATGCAATAATATAACACAAGTTTCTATTCAAAAGTTATATTCTCCAATATATTCTATTATTCACTGACTTGCTTGGACTAGCATCCTCATTGTGGTTGTTGTTGCCACAAAACTTTAGCTGATGTATCATTTCGCCTTCTTCAGGTGTCTCTTGTAATTGGTAATCTTTCAAATGGGACTCTTTATTCAATCCATGAAGAAATTTCTAGAAGGTTATCAATCAACTATAATGGATAACCAAAGAAGGCTGGAAAGTACAATTGTCAAAACATTGTGACTACAACAACCAAGATGCAGAAACTATTCCAAGTAAATCCATGCATACCAATAATAATAATAATAATAATAATGATACCACATTTCAAAAATACAAGTTACCAGTAAAGTGGGTTCCTATGCAAGAAAGAATATTTCCAGTTTACATTTATCCATTCTATCTAAAATCACATGCAAAATCATATAAAAAAACTTGACATGAAAATTCATGTAAAATTGCTAATGTAAAATCATAGAAATCAAGAAACTAATGGCAGGAAAAACTGTTTACCATCATACTATTTATTTTCTAATGCAGTGAATTTGATTTACATGAGGTGCCCTACTACTGAATCCTTAAGCCAAATTAAGCCTAGCTCTTGGCTACATCCAGCAGCAAGGCCTCTGATCTGAAGATTAGTGGTTTTGAATAGTTGCTTTTTGACTAGGTGCTACCACTCTGGGTCAGGGTGGTAGCACCTGTTATGGTCCCAGCTATGGGCAAATAGTAAAACCTCTCAAACAAAACACTATGAAACCATAAAAATACATATTTATAGTAAAAATATCAGCTATACATTTTTATATAAAAAGTTGCCAACAATACATTTTATCTGTAGTTGAAGCCATAAA